ATATGATCACAATGCATTATTTAAGTTTTTGTTGAACAAGAATTACATTACAATAAAAAGGAAAACAATCCAGTTTATAAGCAACAAAACACTGTACATAATCTTTGTACACATCAAAAGTTGATGGGTGCCATAACTGATTCAAAAATGTTTCCACAAATATAAAATGTTATTCCCGCATCTGGTCTGAAGTGCATCAGAACACACACATTGACTTGATTTAAGCTTTAATTTCAAGCATTCCATTGAAAAAGTTTGAGTTTGTGATTACGATAAATGACAAGAATGTTGATGATGCGTGACAGTGCAAGGAGGACGAAGGAAATCCGGAGGGCAGTGATCCATGGAGCAAGGTTGAAAGACATAGGAGTGGGATCAACAGTTGTAGTGGCAATACCTGTGACGATTTCTTCCTTTGCTCTCACATTTACGGGTCCGACGACACAAGAATGTGATACACCGGGATAGATCAGGGATGGAATGAAACATCGAAATGTGAGATTGTTATCAGAGACATCAAGTATCGCTTCAAGGGATTTAAATGATTTACCATTCACGATTGTTGATTTCCAACCGTAACATTTCAACATATTCCCATTAAGAGAAAATGAGATTTCAAGGTTGTTAGTGTCGGGTGAACATTGCAGGCTCAGCTGTGTCCCAGCGTCTGCTGTGATGAGTCCCTCGGGTGAGCAGACAGGGAAGGATTCATTCGAGGAGTACACTCTCAGCTGATGGTAGAGGTGACAAGAACAAAGGCTCCTCCTCTCTGTGATGGTTCACTGACAGAACAGATATATCCATCATCGTCACCCCATTGTAAATCAGTGATGTTGAATTCTTGAGTAATTTCCCTTATCCCTGTCTGCTTTGTTTCGAACATAAACAATGGATTATTTTCTCCAACAGTAGTGTGACCACATATCAGTGTTAAATTCTCAGTCCTCCACTCCACGATGTGTATCACGACACACCCTGTGACTAGATTAAAGCTTTAATTTCGTACAACATTTTTTCCCTTTAAATGTGACCAGAGATATGCTGTAGGGTTGTGAGCATTGAGTGTTCAGGAAGTTGTATTTATGAATGATGGTAATCATGCGATGTCAGCAACTCAGAGGCATACCTTCAGGTGTTACATAAATGATCGAGCTTTGTGTAATTTGCAATATTCTGGTATTTTTGTCCTCATCTTTTGACTTTCGAACTGCTTCATAGTGCTCTTAATTTTGTAGTCGCTCGTAATCATCTGTATGTTCATTCACTTCTTCCAGTGACTGACAGATGGTGTGGTATGTTATTGTAGATTGTCTAGTCTGAGGTTCCGTGCATTCTCTGTTACTATCATCCCTTCGCCTGTGCTCCATATTCGGATCAGCTCTGAGCACAGGCGCTGTCTTTTTGGTTAAAGCTTCATTGAGACGTTTGAGTATGTGACTACGAAAAATGACAAGAAGGTTGATGATAAAAGACAATACAAGGAGGGTGAGAGAAACCACGAGGGCAGTGATCCATGGATCAAGGTTAGATGACGGAGGAGTGGGATCAACTGTTATCATGGCAATATCTGTATCGATTCCATCCTTCGTTCTCACATTTATGGGTCCCATGACACAAGAATGGGATGTACCGGGTAAGGTCAAGGATGGAATGAAACATTGAAATGTAAGACTGATATTGGAAACATCAAGGATCACATCTAGTAACCTGAATGATTTCGACAATTGATGATTTCCAATTATAACATTTGGACATTGTCCAATTATGAGAAATTGTTATTTCTGAATTATGATAGTCTGATAAGCATTGCATGTTTAGCTGCGTCCCAACGTCTACTGAAGTGGGTCCACCTGGGGGAGCAGATAGGGAAGGACTCATTAGGTGAGTACGCCCACAGTCTGATGGTAGAGCTGGCAAGAGTCATGTTTCCTGCGCTCTGCAGAGGCTTCCTGACATCAAAGACATACGTGTATTTATTTTCGTCACTTCTCTGCAAATCAGTGGTGTTGAATTCTTGAGTAATTTCCCGATCCCTGTCTGTTTAGCCTTGAACATAAATCGGGAATCAATTCCTCCAAGGGTTTGGTTGCCCCATCCCAGTGTTCTTATCGGGTGTGAGTCCTCCACTCCACGATGTGATCTTCCTCCAGGTTTGTAGCGTCACACCTCAACTCAACCCGTCCACCTATTTTTTGGCCTCTTTCTGGTGTTACGACCCAGGCAGTCACTATTGGTTGTGCTGTGGCAGTCATGCAGCGTGCGTGAACACCACATACATAGCATGAAAAGGTGAGCCTTGGATTCTTTTTCTACGTTTTGATACAAAGTTGGTGGGCTACTCTCGTGTAATCATAAAAAAATAAATGTACCAAAAACATCCATTTGGAGCAAACGGTGTCGTGTGAAGAACTTCTTTTTAAACACACATGTATATTTCTATGAGAAGGCTTTGAAAACTGAGCAGCATTCACAATGGAGTAAAGAAATATAACCTAATACCACCTTTCATATTCTAATAAGGGTCAACCAAATCACAAGACGGGGTTAGTCTGGGACATCGGGGGAAAAACCCCTAAACACCCCAATTACTATGATTTCACTATTTCCTTGATAATGTATTTAGTTAGACAGTCCTGATGTTGATGGCGAAATATTCACACACAAAAATTTAAAATGCATGAATTCAGTGAGGCGCTAGGTTCTCGGTGTATAATGCAAAAAAAGTGCTTGCTAGGAACAACATTTAAAAAAAATAAAAGTAATTCACGTAAAACCATTTGTCTTAAAGTGAGTTAGTACTCGGAGCTTATACGCACTGAAATGTAATGCTTATGTGGATAGGATGCACTCTTTGAAAAAGGAACACATAAAAGGACAGTTCAACTGTTCAAATTGCTATATAAATAGTTGTTAACGCGTTGTTCACATTATTTACATTTAAGCTAGAGTTGTGGATATATACAGATCTGGTAATAATTTTTCTCAACTTTGGACAAATACAGAAGCATTGAAAGTATAGAGCGATGAAATTAATATAAATGAAACCTCCTGTAGTCATCTATTTACAGCCATACTAAGCGCAAGAAAAAATATCAAGTGTTGGGATAAACGCAACGCCTCTCAGCGATTAATGATTGGAGTTGTATGATGTGAATTTTGCACTGGAATCGTCTACCAAAGACCTTTACCGAACGGTGCAAACTCCAATGACGTCAACTTGGAGGTATATTTTAAAATCTGGAATGTGTGTTTTTCTCAATAACTCACGGAACCATTTCTACGATATAACCCGTACGTTTGAAGGAGGTCCGCACAAGTCTGAGCCAAAATGAGTTGCCAAAATCTTCAGATTAGGCAGATTTGGATATTGAGGGACGTGTTGCACAATAGCTACCTTAGATTACCAAACTGTTTTGCTTTGAGCGAGAACTTGGGATTATGCTTAAAAGCGTAAAAGAAAAAACTCCAAACACTCTTTAATTTAAGTAGCAATTGTATGTATAGAAATAAAAAAAAGAGTTAGTCCTCGAGGTCATTGAAATTCACGTCGAATATCCAATTCTACTTCCAAAACACACTGAAAGAGCAATGAACATTTGAATGTTTGACGGATTTAGATCTTGTTCTCATCTTTCTTTGGAGCGCCCACTGCTTCATATTTGTCCTCAGGTTGTTCGTAGTCATCTGCTATCTTTTCATTCTCAATGTCAAGTGTATTGTAGTATGTATGTCGTGTACTGGTCGATCCTTTGGTAACCGGCTCTGTGTATGCTATGTTACTGTCATTTGTCGGTTGCAGCTCCATGTATGGATCGGATTTAGGCACCTGCAGGCTGGTTCTCGCAATCAGACTATTGACGAGCCGTCTTTGTTTTAAAAGTTGAAGGGTTAGAAGGAGGGTGATGATGCAAGACAGAACAAGGAGGACGATACTAACCACGGAGACAGCAATCCATGGAGCCAGGGGACATGGCTCGACAAGACCTGTCGTGGGATTTGGCTTTCGTGTTGTATCTTTGGTAGTTGGAGATTGTAACACACCTCGCACATTTATGGGTCCAATTATACAATAATGCGTTTCACCATGGAAAGTCATCGATGAAATAGTACAAACAAATCTAAGATTGTCATCAGTGACATCTACAATAACATCCAGTGACCTAGATGATAAGCCACCGCTGGTTATTGATGACCATAGGTAATAGTTGGACGCCATCGCTTGCGGTAGCCCTGACTGAAAAATCCCAATTCGGGGTTCACCTGTATCAGCTGAACATTGCATAATCAGGTGTGTTCCATCGTTTACTGTAATGGGTCCCTCAGGGGAGCAGATAGGAAAGGACTCATTGGACGAGTACACTCTCAGTCTGATGGTGGAGTTGGTAATAATCTCGCTTCCTCCGCTCTGTAAGATTTCCCTGACATTGCAAGCATATTTGTTGCTATCTTTCAGTTGTAAATTAGTAATGTTGAATTCTTGAGTAATTTCTCCGATATCTGTCTGCTTTGTCTCGAACACGAATCGGGGATCACGTCCCGCATTAGTCAGGTTACACCATCTCAGTGATACCGGAGTTGGATCTAGAGTCTCTAACTCCACAACGTGATTTTCCTCCAGGTTTGTAGCGACACACCTCATCTCAACCCGCCCACCAATTTTCCGATTTCTCTCGGCTGTGACGATCCACACAGTTGCTGAGGGTTCTGAACTGACAACCCTCACCAGGAGTCCGTTAAAATACAACGAATGAAACACACAAAGTAAAAACAAACGCAATGAGACGTGATCCATTCTGTTCTTCACCTTGTTAAGGTCAATTTCCAAATGAGGATTTTTGAAGTCCGATTTGAATCATTTTCATCTATGGCAAAAATCACATGCAGCTCTGTGCGATTAAGGCCCGTGTAGTCTGCAATACGAGGTCATGCCTCACTTCAATTCTCCGTGTGAGCGAGTCTCATGCATGATTGAACAAGGACACAGACACAATTCAGCAGAGTTCATTCATCGAATTCTTATTCTAACCAGGGTCAGCCATGATCAGAACCTACAAATAATTATGAATCTTGCCTAACAAATGGAATCCCATCATCCTGTGCGTATTACATCTTTGAAATTTAACGTACGCTACGGACGTGCCCCAAAACCTCTTGAAATCTTGCAGATTAAATGTTAAGTAGCCTGATGACTATCTGGCCCAGTACTTTTCTTATCAGTTGGAATCTTGCAGCACAACTGCAATCCCACTTTCATATTCTGTGTATATTTCGTGGGTTCTGCAGTAGTAATAGAACATACATGGTTTTCACTATGTCTCACGCTGTCTAGTCAGTTGCTTGCTTTTTGTCTGCGTGCCTGAAACTGAAACCTGTTTTGCGTGAAATTCACCCGTGTGCCTAATTTGCCTGTATTCCAATCTTCTTAGTGATTATGCTGATGTGGCTTTTCATATTGGTGACCACATATTTTATTTTTCTCCCATAGCCAGGGCTTTGGTGTATACAGTTATAGCTGCTGTTTTATCAAATGTTGCATTATTTTATTAGCGACTGAGTAGAAATATTCACATAAACCTCCACCTTCCATCACTATAAAGTGGTAGCAGATTGATCACCATAGGCTCCGCTTTTCCTTTATTATTTAACTTCAGTTAGTGCATGGCATATATGTCTCTCATATTTCTGAGTAAAGGTAGTTGGTTGAAATCTTCCAATTATAGATAAAAATACACCTGACTTATTCTTATTCAGTTTTTTGCCTACATGTCTAGCCCGGTGTGCCATAACTTACAACCTTTATTAACGTCTAACGTCTATTTGTTACTTTAATTGACTTATTGAGAAAGTACGAATGTAAAATCCAGGCTTAATATTATAGACTCATGTAAAGAAACATACCGCGTATCAAAAACACTTTATCCAAACCGATTCAGCTCATGTACGCATTCAGCGTAGTTTCTGTATACATGTACATTCATAAACCAATGAAGATCTTAAGCTTAACGGTAAGTAAAGTGGGCAATGTACACGCTAAATAAGAACATTTGAGCAAAGGCGAAACTCTTTAAGTTCATGTACAGACGATCGTAATGACCGTTGCCATAAAAATGTAGAGATTGATAACCTCGCTATCCAAATGAATAGCAGGATTTACAAGCCTCAACGGTGTTTTGTCGAATCACAACTGTGTCGATTGGAAGAGTTTTCCTGAAAGTTGAAACCGTGGCTTTATCGTACGTTGAGAATGAAGTATGAAGAAGTAATTACACGGTGTACATGTATAATCTTCTACAATGAAACAAATATAATCAGTTTATAGTCACATCGTCTCCTCAGAGTTGGGGCGATTTTTCATAACTCTTGCGTACACAGCCACGGGCTCCTCTGAGATTACTGGCTGACCGACATCTTTAGATGAGTCTGGTTCTAAGTTCAAGTCAGCATAGACAAGGTGATCTGGTAGTGACGGCGTGTCACGATCGGTGCTGGTCTTGATCTGTGGAACTGAGACCTCAGTGTACATTGTCATTCCATCGGGCGATGAGGGCTCAGCACAGGGGTTCTCACTGGCAGTAAGGATATGGGCATCGGTTGATGGGAGGGATGGGGTCGATTTGGGTCGAGTTGACTCCCCTCTACCCTGATGGTAAGCTATGCCGTAACGGGGATCACTTGCACGCTGGTCCTTAGGCTTGTAGGGCTGGGGTTTCATAGGAACTTTCGTGAAAGGTGGTGTCATGGCAGTTGGTTTGAGAGCCGCGGAGGTTCCTTCTCCCAACGGCGCGGTGGAACTGTCAGGATCCGCAGAATCAAATACAGGATTGTTGTATCTCTGTTCGTCGTATTGGTCATTCGCTGCGTCCACAGGTGCTTGTGGCTTGTTTGGTTTTGCATACACAGGTGGGGTGTATTCGGTTGGAGTTTGCTTGGCTGACGGTGATGGGCGAGCATAAAGGACGCCTGCCTCTGGTTCTGGTCTTACATTTATCCTAGCCTGGCTCGGTTTGCGGCAGGTTTCTTGCTCATAATCCTGGGTATCATCTTGATAGTCAAGTGCTGCGTTTTCGTAGACGCGTGACTGACTGATCGTGTGTGCGCTAATGATTGGGTTAGAGTTCAGCTCTGTGCTTGCTTTGGAAGAGGTGTTGGATTTTAGAGATGCGCAATAACCACGCTTGCAACAAATCAGAACCAGAATCAAGATGATAACAAGTGCAGCTGCTCCACCTACTGATGCACCTACAGCCAGGGCCGTGATGGATGCAGCTGGGTTTGCTTCTGTCGTTAAGCCACTAATTTGTTGTATCGTAGAATCAGTCTCCCCGAGTACTTGAATTGGCCCAAGGAAACAAGAATGCGTCAGGGAATTGTTCATCACAGATGAAATAGTGCATTGGAAAGTTAAATTGTCATTGGAAGTATTAATTGTTAAATTTAATGACCTGAATGATTTGCCATTGATTATTTCTGTTGACCACGTTTGTGATGAGGAAAATGGAGAAATCATGATTGAGGGGTTCCCAGCGTCGGATGCACATGACATATATAGCTGTGCTCCTTCGTCTACTGTAATGGGTCCATCAGGGGAGCAGATAGGGAAGGACTCACTGGACGAGTACACTCTCAGTCTGATGGTAGAGTTGGCCACACTTACAGTTCCTCCCCTCAGTAAAGGTTCTCTGACATGACAGATATATTCATTATCGTCACTCCTTTGTAAATCAGTGATGTTGAATTCTTGAGTAATTTCCCTTATCCCTGTCTGCTTTGTATCGAACATAAATCGTGGATCATTTCCTCCAACAGTAGCGTTACCCCATCTCAGTGTGTTATCCTCAGTCCTCAACTCTACGATGTGATCTTCTTCCAGGTTTGAAGCAACACAAATCATCCCAAACCGTCCACCAATCTTCTGATCTCTCTCCGGTGTTACGATCCGCGCAATCACTGCAGGTTCTGAACTAACAACCATCCAGAGTCCGCTACATAACCACCAGGAACACAGCAAGTAGACTTGGTCCATTTTCATGTTTTTGGTGAAAGAACTGCTGAATTCCGATTCCAACAATTCGGATAAATTTTGCAGTAGGACTATCTGAAAAAGTATGTACATGTACAGTGCAGCAAAGCCATTTAGTTTTGCGTGTACACCTTCCGTGTGGGGTAATTTACCTCTTAGTCATTCTAGAATCGTTTGTGGCCGTGTACAGTTCTGTATGCACGCTTTAAACACCAATGAACTTCAACAATGAAGAAATTATGTCTAGCTCTGTGTTCATATTATATATTATCCTGGGTCAGAAGTTTGAATTCAGGCAAAAGCAGATCGTAGAATGGTCTAGCCCATGCATTGCAACACATGCACTACAACAAACGAAATCGGTTACATGAAGTAAACTGTGGGTACCATGCACAATATTTCGGGTATTGACAAGAATATAATATAAAATCAGTGCTCTGGAATATGTGATGGCCAAGCTTTTGGTAACTGAGTACCTTCTTCAGGGCAAGGAGCACTGATTTTATATTATATTCTTGTCAATATTCTGATCACGGTGCTCCGCAGCCCTTCCATATTTCATAATATTTCGAGTATGTCAGATCGGTACAATGTCCATCTAAATGATCGTATTTCGGTCAGCTATTCCAATATTCACAGCGTAGACTGTGCTTGGGACTCACGAAAAACTTGAATTACATGGCTTATGGTATATTATAAACAATCACCTATACTGAGGCTGCTAATTCGTTGCTTCCTCTATTTCCCACTGACCCGTGCATCATTGGCGACCGAAATTATTTTGGCGCGGCTCTGTCGACCGTAAGCTTAAAAAAGGCACTGAACAGGCGTTTAAAACCAGAAATACACCCCAGAAAGATCAACGAAGCGATGATTCGACCATCGGTCCTCATTGCCATCTAATAAATTTGGCCTGTGTGTTTTAGCACTCTTTGGTGTTCATTTAATCGGCATGTGGTGTTGTAGTTTTAGAGATATATGTAAAGTGCCTTGCAAAAGTAAATCTGCAGATGAATTACTTGCAAACGGAATGAACTGCCAATCAGGTTTATAGTTCATTTTCAGGAATATTATTTCCGTGTATGGGCTTTGCGTGCAAAAATGTAAGAGACCAACTGCATTGAATGGACTGCCAATAATAGTACCATATGAACAATACCAAACTGCGTCACTGCCATTGTCAAAACACGTCAACCGGTGAGTAATTCAGAGGTGCGGTCGAGTCTGCATACCAAATCAAATGCACATTGAAACTACTTTATTTCCTGTTTATTTTATTGTCGAGCAACGTTAACGTTGGAATCCAAACACTGCTGAGTAATGCGACAGTGGGCTTCACCAGTATCTCAGATTGTTATGTCTATAAAGGAACATAAATAAAACAAAAGAAATGCCCTGCAAGATGGCTACAACGCAAAGCCTCCATACGTACTGTACAACTCCGATCGCTTGCACCAGAAGCATCTACTAACCAAACCTTTTGCATCAAAAGCCAGGCCTCTCTATACTTGTGTTTTGTTTTTTTAAAATCAAATTACTTCCTATGGGCGCTACGCACTGCAGCAATCGGGAGTCAATGCAATAACGATAGTATTCTCGTTAGTGCTATAGCTATCCGCCTCGCACAGAATCCCCCCCCCCTCGTCGGTTGAAAAGAGCCACGTTAGCCCGGAGTGTTCAATTTAGTGGTAGCGATGCGACGTCACACATGTACAACCTTGTCGTTCGTTCACCAACGACGTTCAGTTCTGATCTAAGGAGCCTCCGTTGCAAAAAATAGCGCCATCTCTTGGTCCAGCTAGAGGCCCATAAGGTCACACTGTTTCCAGGAACACCACCAGAAGCTGCTTCGTACATCAACCCAAGGAGAAGCTTACCGACAAGTCTACTAGATTGGAACTAACGTCAGCATGATCCAAGAATGGTACCTAACGACCACATGCTGTTATGACGGAGAATCCATGAGTCTGAAATCGTGGGCGTGAATACGCATGCGGGAATCCTTAGCATTGTCACGAAGTTGTGTGGATCATGATCGAATAATCATGTTAGGCCTACGGAACATTATATAGCGTGTTAACTTTATCTCCTATCAATCAGGGAAACTCTGAAACTCTCTCGAACAGTGGTTGTCTGTGCAAGGGATGGGGGATGACTTAAAAAAAATTCACTTGCAGTGCCAAACTTCTAAATATACAGAGACTCCCACAATTTAATAAAAAAGGAGAAGCAATAACTCTTGCAATCATGATCCAATTAAAATATCATATGCAACATGCTGTGTAAAATAACGATGGCTAGGATTACTTTAAATTGACATATATTATCGGAAGAAACAAACATTTAAATCGCATCCACGAGATGTCCTGTCTGATTTAATTCTATATTTAATATCATTTTTGTATTTAAAAAAA